TCCAGAAAAGCATCCCCAAACCATTATGCCACCACCACCATGTTTAACTGAAGGGACAATATTTTCAATATTGTAACATTGACCATCAGTATGCCAAACATGTATTGGTCCATCACTTCTGAAGATTGTAAAGTGTGATTCGTCACTCCAAATCACCTTGCTCCAGTCTTCTATTGTCCAAGACCTTCTTTCTAAACACCACTTTAATCGTTTTTCTTTTTGTTTTTGTGTTAAAAGTGGTTTAACAGCCGCAGCCCTCGAAAAAATCCCCAGTTCATGCAAACTTCTACGAACAGTTCTTGTGCTAATTTCTTTGCCACTAACTTCAGTAAATTTTATTTTGATCTCTTCTGCAGAACTAAAATTATTGTTTTTGTAATTTCTTTTAAAATTTTTTTGTCATCATCATCTAAACTTTTTGGTCTGCCAGATCGTAGAGCACTTTTAACATCATCTGAATTTTTATAATGCGTAATTTGATTATGAACTGTGCTTTTGGGGATTTTGAGGCATTTGGAGATTGCTCTAATACTTTTATTACTCATATGAAGACCTAATATTTTTCCTCGTTCAAGTTCAGTCAAATCGGAATTTTTTGGCATTTTTGTAAAAAAAGATGGTGAAAAATTGTAGATCAAGATCTAATTATATATGCGTGCTAGAAGTATTATTTTCAATATATACATTCCCTGGAACATGAAATTTAAGATCATATAGTTTTATATTTATTTATTATGTGGATTTTTGAGAAAATACAAAAGCTCATGAATGACATCAGTTTTTTAATCGAAGTTAGTAATTTTTTATTTACTGCAGTTTTAAACGAGTTAGGATCATGAAAATTTATACACATGTTTGTCAAAACCTAGGCCGCAAATGACAAAAATTTTATGTATAGTTATTATGTGTAATTTTGCGCAATTAGTAAAAACAGGTGTCCGAAAACTTTTGTCTAGGGTGTGTATATATGCAAAAAAAAAAAACAAAAACGATACTAACTCGAATAAAAACAAGATATCGTCTTACACTACACTACCTTGAAGATTAAGTGCTCGATGACGCAAGCGATGTTGTTCTATACGACGACTAATAGCTGCAGGAGTGCGCGCATGTCGTCTGCGAGTCATCTAAATATAAAAAAAGGTTAAAACAAGTTTAGGGATCGATACTTTTTCACGGAAGGATGAAAGAAAAGATAAAATAAATAAATTAAAAGTTCATGAAGAAGTGAAGTACGTATATTAATGAAAAGCCATACTATGCCAACTCTAAACATAATGTTTTAGGGATGCAGCATTATATTCAGGGTCATAGCCATACTCCTTCGAACACATGTTCAAAGTGAGGACCCAAGTAGATTCAAGGCCTTGATAAATAAAAATTAAAATAAAAAAAAGAAAACCAGCGTTAACAAGAACAAGAAACAAAAGACTTGCCTTTTAGTAGAGAGTAGTAATGGTAGAAGTAGAAGAAGAAGCGGTTGATAATACAAAGAATTGGAAAATATTTTCACAAAGAGACTGAAATTGGATAGATATAGAGGAATTCCTTGTTTCGAAACTGGATCAGTAGGATTTTCAACACAAAAGAGACCGAATTGGATATATTGGATATGCAAAGAGGAATTACTTGTTTTGAACTGGTTCAGTTCTATTTTATTTTCCAATGGGAATTGAAAATTTAAATCATATTAATATATGAGTTATTTGAGGGAGGATAAATGAATATGAAGCAATTGATTATCGCATAACTACTCTATCATATTTTATTGGGTTAAGAATTCTCATTATTCATTAATAAATTTAATTCATCATTTTCATCTTTAGCTCCCATTGATACCTTTGAAATAAATGTCATAATATTAATAATATTTTAATGATTACATCCTAAATACATGAACAAATAATTCTTTTGTAAAATCATAGGTTTTTTTTTAATTTCTTTTCTGCTGAATCAAATTTACATAAACTTCTTGACATGACTATTAAATTTCCATAAAATAGTTTTTCATGAACCTCTCTAAAACTTATTAACCAACACCCTCATAAAGTAATAACATTGTGAAGGCTTGGGATATTTTACATCTACTATCAATTCTTTTAAAGCGATACTGAAAATAATCTCAGCTACGAAACAAAAAATTAACACCATTTTTGAATAGTCGTGGATTTATGAAAAGATATTCATTATTAAAAAACAGTCTGTTACACGAGTTAGAGATTTTTATTTTAATATGCTAATTAAACAAATAATATTTTTATTTCTTTATAATTAAATGCTTTAAGAGAGGTAAGGGCCAGAAAATGAAATATTTGGTTGATGGTTAGTCATTTTAACTATAATTTATAATTTTATTATTTATTTTTTATTTTTTTTTCAAATATTGTTTGTGCAAAAATAGATGTCATCAAACCAGGAAAAAAACTTCTCCCGAAGAAACAACGAAGCCCAAGAAGGACATTAGTGACGCTCAAAGTAATATTCCCATAGAAAATTAATTTACTTAATTCTAGTTTTTAATTTTTGGTTATTTATTTTTTTTCTTTTGTTAATTAAATAGCAAGACTAACAAATTGGAAGGTTGTATATACACAATTCATGAATCAAATTGGTCAAAGATAGCCGAGGAAATGAACTCTATTGACTCTTGTGAAATTTGTTGAGAGATAATTGGCTGTTAATTATTATTAATGTTAGTTAAATATTTAATATATATTATTTATTTATTTCTAAATTAATTAATAAGTTTTTATTTCTTCCCTTCTCTTCTTTTTTCTTCAGATATGTTAATCACTTGGATCCGAACAGTTAATAAAATGCTTTCTTTTTTTCTTTTCCAATAAAATTTTTTCAACTAAAATAAATAATCAAATTATTATCATATTGTTATTATTATTTTAGTAAATCATGACAAATTAACCAAAAGGGAAAGATACATAATCAGAATATTAGCTTGGAGAAATGGCAATGATTCCTCCGGAACCGCACACAATTGCAAGTCAAAAATTATTTCGACTCGCATAAAAGCAAACTCGCACGAATCAAATCATCGGGTAGAAAATTCCCTACAAATAAAAATTGGAGGCCCGCTTTCCCATGTTGAAATAAACATAATCAATTCTTATGCAAATAATCGTGCTAATTACATTGCAAAAACGTTAGGAAATAATAGACGAGACAAATATAAAGTTGAATTTTATTTGTATCACTCAAAAAAAAAAAGAAAATTTTATTTGACGTGCAAAAACAGAGCTCTTGATAGACGACCAACTTTTGCGAATATTTTAAATCCTTGTACTTAATTTAATTATATATATAATAAATTCATTATCAAGTAATATAATGTATGTTTTTATCACCATGTACTATATTTATATCATTATAAGGAATACGGCACGATTCCTGACAACTCATTTCACCAACTAAACTGACCACCATTTACAAATTGAATTTTTGTTGATTGCACATGCTATCGGGGAAACGGTTGTTGGGGAAATGGGCGCAACCAATTGTAAGAATTTACTGAACTAATGAATGGTATTGCTATTATAAAAATAAATATCAGGACTATCGTCAAATCTAGGAAGGTTGGTTACTAAACTACGCAGTACTGATATATTAAATATGAACCTTCACCAACTATTTGCTCTTTTGTCAGCTACAATAGTTTGGTTGATATTATCGTATTTATGATGAAATGAAAGTGCATTTAAACCATCTCTACATATCTACCTAATATTATGATATAAAAGCATGAGTTTGTATTTAACTTCGAATGAATTATATGGTGGATTCTTTCCCTTTATTAATCATTGTTGAGTCAAGCTTGGATTTCTTGATTAAAAATCCGAACGGTTCAGCCTAAAAATTTTCGGTTAATATTAAATTCTGTTTGTTGTTAATAAATAACACGTGACATTTGTCATTGTACTGGTTTTTTTGATTTTGGGCTTTGAAGTTTATGTATGATATGTAGATACACGTAAAAAACAAAACAAATATAGCTTCAGTTTGTATTAGCGAGTTAATTTCATTTATTTATTTAATTCACAAAGCTTTTGTTGATCTTTAAATATGAAGTTTGCAAAGTGTTAAACAGCGAATGATTAAAAACGATGTTTTTATTATCTGATTCTTTTATTTTTATTATTATTTTTTTTCAATTTTAACCAAACTAATCCGAAACCTAACAGAGCTGTTCGAGCTTTATTCTTGATAATAAATTTTAATGTTGATAGATGCAATATTAACATTGGATATTTTGATAAACACTATCCAAGAATACATATGAAATTTAAAATATGAAAGAACCGGTGAAAAATGCAGAAGATAAAGAAAGAATATGATTTGTTTATGGTAATTTAAAAGTATGCAATAATAAAAAAGATTTTTAAGAAAATACAATCATTCAAAAATCAATTTCTATTGGCAACCAGGAAATCAATTGTTATGATTTAAAGCGATGGTTTATTTTTTTAAAAGAGATGGTTATTGATCCAGAGGAAGATGTAGAATTAAATCGACGGTACACCAATTTCGAGACTAATCGTGAAGAAATTTGGAAGAAAAATAAAAAAGTTATTATCTATCATTGAAAGTGAAAAAGTCACATGTATCAATAAATAATAAAATAATAATGATGATAGACTATATATACTAGTGTATAGAAACAAATTATAAAAATATTTACTGTGTAATGTTTTTTATTTATATAATTATGATCCATAATTCAGTTTTTGGTTATTTTATCAATTATTTGAAAGACTTCCAGCTCATCATAGTTACTATCGTCTACTATATCGATGTTATTATAAGTTACTGAATAACTACCAATGCCATCTGCATCAAAATAAATATCATAACCATCACCAAAGACAGGCAAACCAGAAGAGTAACACCAAGTTGCATGATCATAATCACTATCAATAATATAACTAAATTGTGCAGTCTTGGTGTCATTTCTATTGCTTATATTAAATATAAAGTTTTCGGTTGATCTCTTAAAATTACCATTTTCATCTCCATTCCAATCAAGTGGATTGTAACCGCCAATTATTTGATCCGAGTTTTGAATTTTGGCAACTACGAGGGTTTTGTTGATGTTATCACATTTTCTATGAAACATAGCCGCATCCAAACCATCTCTACTGCTACGATATAGAAGCTTGAATTCATATTTGACTTCCTTGAATGAATTATATGGCGGATTTTTTCTATCAATCCAACTTGCAAAAAGCAAAGTAAGCTTTTGATTAATTGTTATTGATTCAATTTTTGGAATCCTTGACGGTAGTAATATTAATGTTTGTTGTGGATTAGGAAATAAGTAACATTGCAAGAAGAGGTTATCCCGGAATAACTCTGAAAAAAGTTTTTGATGTGGCTCAATTTTATTGCTGAATTCCACACTAGAGATATCCTGGAATCGAATCAAAGGAATGATGTCTTGTATTATGTTCTTTAATTCCCTGAAATCATTTTCATTCAACTCTGAAATGATATTTCTTCCTCCTTCCAAATTTTCAATCTGCCCAATGCCCCATTGGATAACATGATCCCAAACATCAATTTCCTTCAAGTCTAAATTTTCTTTTTCTAATAAAGTCATTAGTAATGGTTTTTCTATGTCTTTGAAATCATTGGATTTTAAAAATAATCCTGGTTCATCATTAATTATGTCATTAAAATAACCTTGAAATAAATTGAATGATGATTGGTGTCTTGATGAGATTTGATAAAGGTAATTTAAATCTTGTTGAACCCATTCTTCTTCTTTTTTAATCAAATAGTTTTGTATATCATCAAGTAATTCATAAAAATTTAATTCATCACATGCCACAAGAAGTTCAACAATTTCATAAAAATCCAATTTATCCGTGTTAATCATTCCATTATAAATATATCTTTTGTATAAATATAATAATAATAAAAGTATTGCTGATTGTTTAGACATGTTATTCAAAAAAACAATTGTTATTTTTATAAATTAACTTATTCTTACGTTAAAAGAACTTCAAACACTTTTGGAGAGATGTTATCTTTCTCAAATAAAATAGTGCCATCATCAGATCTTTTGATCCAGTTAGTTGATAAAGCTGCTTTAAAATACGGAGATCTTGCTTTTAAGATGTTAGAGTGAGCTTTAAAAATTTTAACATCGTTCTGGTCCACTCCAACTTTAATTTCTACGTCGTAAAAGTCTGATTCAATTAATAAATTGGTTAGATCATTTACAAGTTTACTAATGTGTTTTAATACCGGGACATCTTTGTTGGAGTCAATAAGGTCGTTAATTAATGTTGTGATATTTTCAGAGGTTGAAAAACCAATTGATGACATTTTTACAAAAAATTATGAAAGAATTTATACTTTGTACACATATCCGTGTCACATGTAATCAATCTAAAGGTTTTCTTTGATTGGTCACTCATTATAATATAAATAATAAATTCCATTTTTTAAACTATTTTTACCCCTGACAAATTTTTCAGCTAGACTGAGCCGCAACTAGATTTCAATGACCAAAAATTCAAAAAATGTGAATTTTTATTATTACGTGCATATAATAAATATGCATGCCTGGACAAATGTATTTTTTTAAAAAAGTTTTGACATGAAGTTTTTAACAATCGCTCCAAAAATTACATTATAAGTCTCTAATATAATTTTTATACTTTATTTTTTAATTTGTTAATTTTGTCCAGGAACTGTATATTATTATTGTTGTTGTTGTTGTTGTTACAATGATAACAAGCTCACATTTTTTGTATTCTACACGTAGTCGCGGCCAGGAAAAATTTTAGTCACCTAGCCAACTTGCAACGCTAATTTTTCACAATTTGAAATACAATACGTGAGGTATACAAAACCAGATATTTCAAAGTAGAAAATTCAATTTATCAAATTATTATCAAAGTTCTTTTTAATCCAGGGGCTGAATTCTTTATAGAATAAATTTTATAATTTGGTTGTGCAGTAAAATAAAAATTTCATAGCAAGTTATTGGTTGGTAGAAACTTGATATTGTAAAATTATCTTGGTAACAATAATAGTATTGTAAAGATTAGAATTATTTAAAGTGTCTTTGCGTTCTTTCATTCCTGCTCTTTTTTGTATTTCTTATACTTGGAATGCTCTTCTTTATTGTATACAATATAAATGAATACAGTAACCAGAAAAATACCACCCAAAAGAATAAATTTGACAACATTGATTTCTCCAGTAAATTATATTGGATTAGTCCATAAAAGACTTTCAAAATTTTCTTTGGACTTTGAAGTGAGGTTAAAGCCACCTAAGGCACAAGAAACAAGTCACATGTGGAATCAGCAGATTTACCACAAAGATTATATGGGCAAGGAAGATTATCAATTAACGAGTTTAGAAAAATTAGAATTTTTTCTTTTAAGTCTGTCTAGAACAGTAAAACAGATTTTTATTTTATTTTATAATATACTAATTTAGCCTTTCTAAAACTCTGTTTCATATAACAGAAAGCCATTTGTTTGATCCTGATAACTGATCAAAATTTTTACCTAGCTAATTTACAGAAATAGTAGACACATAATTTCTTGCATGAAATATTTTTTTGGATCCTTCTTGATCCAGTAGACTTTTGAGTTTTTTAAAGCATTTGATGAAAATCGTAAATGATTTATATTTTGATATATATATATATACTAATTCCCCTAAAATAATCAATGCTAGACATCTTTCGGATGTAAAGCAACTACCATTAGAACGGTTTACCATTTCTTGTCTTGTAAACAAATAATACAGATGCTTTCAAATTGATTACATAGACCTCAATAATTTCAATCTTGAAATAAAACATTACCATGTTCACCACTGAATTCTGTTGGTTCCATTAATATGATTTAAATAGACGATTGATCTTGAATACCTTGGTGGTGATTCTTTTTCATTGTTACATTTTTGGTTTTCTTTAAATCAATCAATGTTAAACATAAAACCAAAATTAATTGGCATATCATCTGTTGCAGATAGCATCATTTCTATATGATGTTGCCCCGGTGTACATGTTGTTGCATTGGTACCAGTATTTGGCCCTGTACCTCCACCTACTAATGTTGTAATACCAGATGATATTGCCTATATGTAATAAATGTGAGAGAAAGAGGAAGAGAATATGTACGTGAGAATGTGTCAATTAATGAATTAATACAAAAATTATTAAATTATTAATATTAAGAAACATAGGTTTACCTCAGGAATTAATTGAGGACAAATATAATGAACGTGAACATCCAAGGCACCAGCTGTGAATATGTGACCTTCACCAGCCAAGGCTTCAGTAGTAGCACCTACAATCATTCCAGGTGTCACACCTTCCATAACATCAGGATTACCAGCTTTACCAACACCAACAATTAATCCATTCTTTATTCCAATATCAGCCTTATTTACAAATATGAAAAATTTATTAAATTATTAACGAAAATAATATTTTCCTCTCCAACAAAATAAAAATAATAATATAATTACTTTATAAATTCCAGTATAATCAAGAACTATAGCATTAGTTATAACTAAATCTAAAGCATCCTTGTCAGTTATGGTAGTTGATTGACCCATACCCTCTCTCAACACTTTGCCACCACCAAATTTACACTCATCGCCATACTTGGTATAATCCTTTTCAATCTCCAACCATAAATTAGTATTACCCAATCTAACTTTATCCCCAGTTGTTGGACCAAAAATATCAGAATAAGCTCTTCTGTCAATAGTGTATGGGGTGCACGATGATGAAGCAAGTTGTGGTTGTGGGCTATGGTTAAATCCTTTATTTAATAAAGTTTCAACAATTGATTCAATTTTTGACAAATCAACCTTTCCGGTTGCTATTCCATTTCCACCACTAATATATTTCGATCCAGCAATTGATACCAATGTGACTGTTTTTGTTTCGCCTGGCTCAAAACGTACAGCTGATCCAGCTGGTATATCAAGTCTTTTACCATATGATTGACCCCTATCAAATTTCAATGCTGGATTCGTCTCAATAAAATGATAATGGGACCCAACCTATATAAATATGTGTAAAGATTATAAATCAGAGTTATTTTTATTGGTCATCATAATAGTCACGTGAGTACTTTGAATAAAAAAATTTATCAATGCATATATTTACTTGAATTGGTCTATCACCGGTATTTGTAACCTTTACAGCAACTCTTTCTCTACCTTCATTCAAAATAATTTTACCAGGTTTAACAATAACAGCGCCGGGAGCAACATCTTTATCTTCCTTACTAACTTTTGTTGATTGTCGAGTAAATTTAGATTTATCAGGAATCGGTAAGAAACTTCCGTACAAAGCCAATCCCAAGTCAATATCATCAGAAGAGATTGGGTCATGGACAGTAACCAAATAAGTGCCGTCGGGAAAAGTTCCTTCAACTTGCACTTCGACCAAAGTTTCCAAAACATCAGGCTGAACATGTTGTCTCCCGAGTATTCGTTTGCCAATGTTCATCAAATCTGAAACAGAATTATTGCCATCACGGATCAATTCCAATAGTTGAGAGGCAATGAGAGCGGTGGCTTCTGTATGGTTTAATTTTACTCCACGTGCAAGACGTTTTTGAGCTAAGGAACCAACTTGGTGAAGAACAAGTTTATCAAGCTCTCGAGGTACCAATCTCATTATTAATTAAAATATAGATTTTTTTTGAGCTATTTGTTAAATGACTAAATATTAAATAATGTAAATAATGTGAAATGATAAAAACATTAATTTAAAAAATTTTCACACTTTTTAAAAATGTGTGTGTACCACATTGATAAGATGATAAGAGATAGGTTGATCGAGATTTTTTACTTCATTTCGCTCATTATGTATAAGAAAATTGATTAATTAATGGGTGAATGAACGGATGAATGAATGGAAGGAGAATGCAGTGAATGAGATGTAATGAATCACGAATAACAATGTCTTCTATTCCCACCCCTCATTTAAATGATTGATTATCTTTGACCAATTATAATGATGATAATAACAATGGCAATTTAGTTTATGGGTAATACTATTTTAGTAAGATCAATATTCTTAAATTTTTCTTTGCTCTTTTTTTTTCTTTTACTATTTATTACCAATTAAATATTTCTAAAATTTATAAATTATTAATAATATAATAATGAGCTCACAAAAAGAAGTTTGTCGTTTCGAAGACCATATGTCAAATACTGATAATAATAACAATAGCCATTCTCACTCACATGACGAAAGTGGACCACAACATAGTCATGGCGGAGTAGGAGCGGGAGGAGATCATGGGCATACACATGAACATTTAGAAAATCCTGGAAAGTATACAGAACGAGAATTGCCAAAAATTGAAAATAGAAATTGGAAAGAGCGAGCTTTCACAGTTGGAATTGGTGGGTAAGTGATATTTTTCAATTATTATTATTAATTTATAAATTTAGAATTATATTAGAATTAGAATTAAAACTTAAAATTAGAATCAATCTATCAATCAAAGTCACAACTCTTATATTAATCATCCTACAAATTTTATCAATTGTTTAGACCAGTTGGGTCAGGAAAAACGGCATTGATGTTAGCATTATGTAAAGCATTAAGAAACCAATATTCAATTGCAGCAGTTACCAATGACATATTCACGAAAGAGGATACCGAATTCCTAGTACGTAATGAGGCATTACCAACTGAACGTATCAAAGCCATCGAAACAGGTGGATGTCCACATGCTGCAATACGTGAAGATATTTCGGCTAATTTGAATGCATTGGAACAATTACATGCTAAATTCAACACTCAATTATTGTTGATCGAGAGTGGAGGTGATAATTTAGCTGGTAATAATATTTAATATATATATGTGGGTGGGGCGGTCAGAGCATGTATTATATATTCTCTGATGTGATTGATTGATTGATTTAAATTTCTTTATAGCAAATTACTCGCGTGAATTGGCAGATTATATCATTTATGGTAAGAAAAAAATCTAAACTTATTTTTATTTAAATATATTGTAATGAATAGTAATAAATTAAATAACTAAAATTACATGTATAAACATTCTAATTAATAAAAATTAAATATAAAATAGTTATTGATGTAGCAGGTGGTGATAAGATACCCCGTAAAGGAGGACCAGGTATCACTCAATCAGATCTATTGATTATTAATAAAACTGATTTAGCAGAGATAGTGGGTGCCGATCTATCAGTAATGGAAAGAGATGCACGTAAAATGAGGTAAATCAATGATAATGTTTGCATTTAATTTGATTGTTGACAAAATTGTTAACGGTCAATGATTATAAAACATATTTATAGGGAAAGTGGACCAACTGTGTTCACCCAAGTTAAAAATGGTGTTGGTATACCTGAAGTCATTGAATTAATTCTTGGTGCTTGGAAATCATCTGGTGGGGCCGATGATTAATTGAATAATTAACTGAACAAAGTTTTCTTGGATTTGATAACCTGAAAATAAACAATTAATTAATTATTAATCAATCTATTAATTATAGTTATTAAATAAATTTTGTTACCTGAAATATTTCATAGTCATCAACATAGAATGAAGGAATTTGTGTAGTGTCATTATGTGAGTAATAAGATTTTGGCTCATAATTTGATCTGGAATTTTCATTGCACCGATCACTAATACTTAAATCTGGATATCCAAATGTTGGACCTCTGGATGGATCATGATAGATTGCAAAATTAGAATTTTTCACTCTGTTTAATTTACAACATTTATCAAAATTATTGTTCTCGTCAAAATTCATTGAAAATATAAAACTGTCTTCTGTTGGATGGTATCCACATCTTGATGTGTACCACCCAACTGGATTATACCCGCCAATTATTTGAGGATGACCTCTCATTTTTATCAATACAATGCTACTTCCTTTGTTATCACATTTTGAATGAAAATCACCTGATGTAAATCCATCTCTTGATGCTCTAAACAGTAAATTCCAATCATAATCTAGACGTTTTGAATGTGTACCATGATTAGTAATTGGATTGATTGGATTACTGTTATTAATGATGGTGGTACCAATAGTAATATTACTATTAATAAGATTTTGCATCCAAAATTCAATCATTGAAGCATGTTTATTTGTTACTATGGTAGAATCGATTGGTGAAATTCTTGGTGGTAGAATTATCGACTTTGGTCGATAATTTGCTGATAAAAAATAGCCATAAATATCTTTTTTCAATGATTTTGGCAGGATACGTTTAAATGGAAAAACTTTTTTGAAATAGTCATCTCCTGAAATATGAAAATACCTTATTAGAGGAATACATTTATTTAATGTTTTTTCCAACTCAATAAAATTTTTTCTTTCCCAATTTTCAACAATTAGTTCATTACTAATAATATTATTATTATGTCTATTATTATTAATGCTGAATTGAGCTATACCCCATTTAATCATATAATCCCAAATTTCAATTTCCTCCATTTCCAAATCATCTCTTTCCAACAAAGCTACTAAAATATTTGATTCTAGTTTTAAATAATCTTCAGATTCAAACAAAAATTTTGGATCATTGGAAATTATTTCAAGGCAATAATCCTGCAACTTTTTACAAGTTTGATGTTGAAATATTGTATGCAAAACTCTTACTATATTTTGCTGTAACCAATTAGCTTGATTTTGGATCAAATAATCTTGTACATGTTCAATTAACTCATCCAATATCAATTCATCTGCTGCAACCAGTAAGTCCAAAATATCTACTATCTCTTGATCACTGAAATCAAGTATTCCTGTATAAATATACCTATATAATAAATTATTAAGTTGTGAGAAAATAATTTGAGATCGGAAATTAATTTAAGAATTGAAAAAAAAAAACAAAAATAATAATTTTTTTTTGCAAAAGAAATATTGATTACTTTAGAATTATTTTATTTACTAAGGAATTATACATTTGAGATGTGGATCATAGAAGTTGACCTTGTTTCCATTGTCCATG